AGCGCACCTAGTTCAATAAAGCTTTAATAAAAGGTCCACTCTTTATTTTGATGATCGAGACTAGATTTGTATGCTAGTTTGAGGGTAAGGATGTGCTCATCTCTTTAGTTGGCTTAGATAGCAACACACTTGATGCCGGTCCACTCTAAAAGGATTCTTGAGTTGTTTTGATTTACATGATCATTTTCTTAATGTGTGGAGGACCATACTTGCTTGCTTGGTGTTGAAATTTTGGGAGATTGCTTAGAAATGTTGGAAAAATTGCATACTTGAGGTAGTTTTCTCCTAATATTTGTTTGCAATATTGGTGCCTCTTTTGAAAATATCAGCTTAATGTTTGTGGGTATCATTTTTGGAAACTCTCACCAGACTTCACTCATCCACTAAGGGTAACTTAGGGGTTTAAAAGGCTTGTTACATATGCTAAATGCAATCGTGATCCCTACGAAAGTGGCGTTATCATTTATTGCTTTCTAGATTCATAGTTGTATAGTTGTTCGTTTCATTCCATTACTTCGTAGTTCATTGGTAGTGACTAGCAATATTTAAGTTTAGGGGTGTTATGAGCGCTGAAAAGTGCACTTTTAAACCCCTTAAGCTTAGGTGTTCTAGGACCTTTATCTATCTTATTTTCCAGCCTTAGATTGATTTCGTGTTATTTCTATTTTTAGGTACTTATCCCCAAAATAAGCTAACTCAGCCAAATAAGAGCAGAAATGAAGCAATTCTGGGATAAATCAAAGAAATGAGCAAAATAGAGCAAAAAGAAGCAAATGTGGAATTTCAGCATCTTCGATTAATCTCACCTCAAGTTGGATCGATTGAACTCCCATCGATCTCAGCACTTCAAGATAGATCCAAGCCATGATGTCATTTTTAGAGATCCCAAAATTTCGATCGATCCAACATCATCCTTTGATTGATTAAACATTCTTGTCCTTATCCAGATGCCAGATCTTATCCAACTGTACCACCCAACCAACCGCTTTTGTCCTTTTCCCAAAAATATCTTCAAAATATCTTAAATTTTTTTTTATCCAAAAAGTGCCGCCATTGAGGATTGATCCAACTTCAGTTCGATAGATCTCAGCCATGTTCGATCAATCCAAGTCAAAGATTCAATCGATCGAACTTCTTCCGGTTTGAAAAAGTTAAATTTCTAGCTCACAAGAAGTTATCCTTTATCTCATCATTGGGGAATATTTGTTGTACGACCCCAACTCATTTTGGGTGTTATTTGACCTACCTATATAAGGATAAGGATTACTTTTTGCAATATATTCCATTCCATATTCATCATTCCATATTCTATTCTTTAGAGAACCCTTAGTGAGGAAGCAAGAGGAGGAGGAGGCTAGAGACACCATTAGAGACTCTTCATCTACTAAGGAGCAAATCTCTACCATGGAGTTAGCACTTGAGGGTTGGAGAACATCATCTATGAGCGGCTAGACATCCTCTTAGGGCTAGAGTTAGCCATAAGCATGCTTTCTACATCTTGATTTGTGTATTTTTGAGGGGATTTGTATTGTAATACTTGTTTTAACATATTTATATATATAGATCTTGTTTATTCAATAATTTGTATGGTTTAATGCTTCCAATTGATCATTTCATTCTATCCATATGTCTATGTATGCTAGAATAGATGCTTATGTGTTTGCCTCTATTTCTTGTGTTATTGATGCATGTCTATGTGTATTAATGCTATAGATCTAGAGATTGTCAAGACATAGTGCTTTATGGAATGTCCTTATGGTTTATTTGATGGTTCATACTTATTTCTTAATGGATTATGCCTCTCCCTTAGTTTAATTAGTTTAATTTCATGTCATTAGCTTAGTTGTAGTGTAATGGTAGCTAGATGTTAAATGGGAAGACAATCCATGCTTGTTGTTTGATGTTCCATACTTATGAATGCAAGTGACATATTTCTCTAATAGTGTGTTGTGTTTGGATTGTGAGCTTAAAGAGGAACTAATGGCTTAATTTGATATATTGTGCTATTCATTAGGTTTTCTAGACAATCTATGCTTAAATAGTCATCCATTCTCGTTGAAACAACCACACACACAACATTATTACAATACATGCCTTTCCCCTCATTAATCACTCATTAAGGGTGTATAAGAGTTATGCTTAGTGGTGATCTCTAAACCCCAAGATCTCTCTCTCTCTTATCTTACCTCTATTTCACTATTGTTTACTTTAGTTTAATTACATCTTAGCTTAATTCAACCACCAGCCAATCATTTGATCACTCGACCTACTAACCCTAATCTTGATTCCACAATCCTTTACAACCCTCACAATCCCTTGGGACAATCCCTACTCACTCTTGCTACGTTAATAGTAGTGTTGGTAGTGGTTTTTATAAATTTAAACTTGACCCAAAAGGCTTCTCTTGAACCGCACATTCACTACATTAATTTGGCGTCTAGGAACAGCCTTAGAAAAAAAAAGAAACCGATCATCACCATCACTGTCGCAGTATTAAAATCAAATCATGTAACAAGAACCACCTAGAACATGGTTATGTAAAACTAAGAAAGATTACAGCTCTAATATAGAGCGTCACAAAGAATAAGCCTTAGTAGCCTAATGTATGTTACTTGTAATTTTATTTATATGTCTTTAATAATTTGTTTTCCCCCATTTATATATGGGAGTGGGAATTTCATAATGTTTTAGTGGGAAATGACATGAAAGCTGCAGTCGAGTTCATAAAATTTAGGTTTCAATAAAAGTCTGCAGGAATTTATTTTAGCAATTGGCTTTGGAATTTTTGTTGAATAATTATATAAATTGAATAGTATTCAATTATTTCTAGATTTATGTATGAAAGATAATGTTGGAGAAATGTGTACATCTTAATGAAAATGCATACATGCTTGGCATAGACAATTAGATACCTTTTGGATATTTTGGTGATTGGGTTGACTGAAATAAAGGAAATTTGACTAATCCTAGAAAGAAAGGTTCCATCATTGTCAAAAATTATTAGAGATTATTGACACCGATTTATATGGCACGTTTCATGTACTAATAATTGGTGGACATCATTATTTTGTAACTTTTCATTGATGGCTTTTCATGTTATTGTTATATTTTCCTACTGTTGGAAAATCTAGCATTCTTGATGTCTTTTAAAGTTTTTTTAAAAAGCAGGTTGAAAATTAATTAGATAGGAAAATTAAAATTGTAAGGTCCAATTGGGGGTGATGAGTGTTCTATGTCCTTTTGTTAAAGTTTTTGAAGAGTAAGGTATAGTTGCTCAATATACCACTCATGGGACACGTGAACAAAATGAGGTTGTAGAAAGACATAACCGTATTCTAAAGGATGTGACCAGAAATATGATTTGTATGTCTTCCTTACCTGATTTTTTGTCGGCGAGACCCTTAAGATTGCCAGTTATATTTTGTATAGGGTTCCTACTGAAGCAGTTTCACATTCAAGTACGACTCTAATCCCTTAGGACTACCCCTTCTCACTCGTACTACATAGTATAGGTGTTAAGCGGTTTATAAATTTAACTGTGATGCCCACTTGACACTAACTTCCAAACTCGAGGTGTTGTACATTGTTTTCTTTGCACACCAAGGGGTGAACATCACCAATTTGCCGCTAAATCTCCGTCGTGTCGATGGGCATGAAGGCTCGATTCACCTGGATCCACGGTGTGAACAAATCGGACGGAACGAGGCCAGGACTTTTGATTCGTATCTAGAAAGATTCGACCCAGAAGGATCTATGGAGTTTGGACATCAAAAGGCTGCACTGATCTGGTAAAAGGGGTACATCGAGGAAAGGTCATCCGATCTGCCTTATCGACCTTAAGTGGCTACGTTTGATGGCCGAAGCTCAGAAAAGAGATTCACGGATCTGAGGGTTGCAATAGCAAGCCAACGAGAGAATGAGGCACTATGTTCAGTAGCTCGGACAGTTGACTCGCCGTTTACTGATGAAATTCTTAATGCTCCGAATCCGAGGAAATTCTCTATACCAGTTTTCATTCTGTTTGATGGAACGACTGATCCGGTTGATCACTTGTATCATATCGAGTTAAAAATGGCTTTAAACACTGAGAATGATTCTTTAATATGCAAGTGCTTTCCAACCAGCTTGGCTGGACCAGCACTCAACTGGTTCAAGAACTTGCCAAGGGGTTCGATTGATAGTTTCTGAAGCCTTTGTGATCGGTTTATAAGTTAGTATTATGGAAATAAATGCCTGGCAAAAGATGTCTCCAGTTTCTTCACAATGAGGCAGCATAGGATGAGTGTTTTCAAGCCTTTCTTACCAGGTTCAACTTAACCAAGAGCATGGTGATTGAATGCCATCCCTCTACAACGGTTCAAACATTTAAGTTGGCCATGACTCGTGGCACTCCATTTCACACAAGCTTAGTGGTGAATACACCGAAGACCATAGATAAACTTAATGAAAGGGCTGATGGTTTTGTACTCCTAGAAGAAGAAGAAGAAGCAGCTAACGCTCGGAAGACATCCATAATAACAATAGAAGAGAAAACCAAAGCAAAAATTAGGCAAAAGCAGACTCAGCCACAACATCAGACCTTTTGGAAAGCTAAAAAGAGGCCTAGAGAGGAAGTGCTGGTTACTCCACTGAAAGTCACACTAGCAAGGCTGTACCAAGAAAATAAAGATAAGTTCCGACCTCCTTTACTTATCAGACAGCCCCTTGAATAGAGGGACTAGTCTAAGCATTATGCTTTCCATTCTGACTTTGGTCATCAGACTAATGAATGTAGGAACTTAAGGAGGCAGGTGGAGATGCTGATAGCCAGAAGGGAGTTCGCAAGTTATATCTAAGGCACGGCGGTGGAGTAAAACCGACCAATAGAGTAAGTGAAAAGGAATTAGAAGCCGAGCTCCTACAACTCACAACTAGTTCGCATAATCAATGTGATTCATGGTCGGCCCGAACTGGCTGAAGAGTCAGAAGAACTACTTAGAACGCGCCTCTGCCAGGCATAGATGAAGAGAAGGATAGGCAGTGTAAACACTCTGCATCAGCAAAATGCATCAATGCAAATCAAGTTTGACAAAACTGACCTATTACACAATCAGATTCCTCATGAAGATCCATTAGTCATCAATTTGACAGTGGTCGAATGTTTGGTACGCAGAGTTTTAATTGACCCAGGAAGTAGTGCGAACGTCATGCCAAGGGACACATTTGATCAGCTCGAGATTAACCCAGACCGGCTTAAGCCCACCGGGAATCCCTTACTAGGGTTCGATGGAAAACGAGTGGAGCCCATCGGTATGGTGGAAGTAGCCGTGTATGCTGTAGAGAGGGTTCTGATGGAGAGCTTTATGGTTATCGAGATCCATCCTTCTTACAACCTTCTGATGGGTAGAGGATGGATCCACAGAGTTCAAGGTGTTCCTTCTACTCTACACCAAGTGATGAGATGCCTGGGGCCAGACAGCACCAAGGTGATTTACATTCATGAAGACTAAGTTGCAGCTAAGGAATGTTATTCAGTGACATTGAAATCTGCTGGGAAAGGGAAGGCACCTGTCCGATCGGCGAGCCCGAGATAGCAATTACAAAAACCTCCACCCAAGCAGAATGGGGAGGAGGAGCCAGTGGACTTGACTGAAGAACCCCTTACTGATGTACAGATCGAACAATCTAGGCCAGAGCGAACAACCCGTGTGGGAGTAGGACTCACTGAGAGGGAAAAGCAGGAATTAATTGATTTCTTATCTCACAATGCCAATGTATTTGTATGGAGTCACTTAGACATGCCTGGAATTAGCCCTTTGGTATCCTGTCACTCCCTAAACGTTGATCCCAATGCAAGACCTGTAAAGCAGAGGTAGCGAAGGTTTGCTCCAGAACGTAACCAGATTATAGCCGAAGAGGTTCATAGGCTACTTGATGCAGGATTCATAAGAGAAGTGTACTATCCCGATTGGTTGTCAAATGTTGCGGTTATGTAGAAGAAGAATGGGAAATGGCAAGTGTTCATCGACTTTACCAATTTAAACAAAGCCTGTCCGAAGGATAGCTTTCCGCTGCCTAAGATTGATCAAATGGTGGACGCTACTGCTAGATATGAGCGTTTAACCTTCTTAGATGCTTATTCAGGTAATAATCAGATCCCCATGGACCCTCATGTTATCCAAGGAATGACCCTAGAAGGGGGGGGGGGGTGAATAGGGTCATTGGCAAACTATGAAACTTTTTCGGTTTAGCTATTCTAAGATTCTTTTACTTGTCTCTTTAGTTTGGAGCCATATATGATTCTTTGTGATGAACGCTCTTCTAGTGAGTTGTAGTGTAGAAATTGCATAATGTGTAGAATGTAAAGCAATGATCTTACTACACTTGAGTGATTGCTTTAACAAATAAATTCTTTTAGCTTCAATGTATTCAATTTCAATTAACCATTCAGAACTAGCATTTGCACAATATTGATGTGAGTAACATTCAAGGTGCAAAAGTCACTAAACACATTATTATAGAGTTTACAACAAATATATCAAACACTTGGTATGCATATAAATTTTAAAAGTGAAGGATGTGTCGAATATGCATTTTGTCAAACACTTGGTGTGCAACATAATTTTAGCTATACAAAAGGCTAGTAGAGAACATATACTCTAAGCTAAAATCAATCAAACAATTAACCTACTCCAAGCATTCATCCCATCTTCCTCATATATTCAAAATAACATGTCCATCTCATAGCATTCATAAATAAAGTATTAAGATTGTGAAATATAAAATGTTAAGGAAATAAAGAGAGTAAGAGTTAGAGAACTTGCAAACCAAGGGACACGCGATGTACATGGTTCGGCACAATCTCGGCCTACGTCCATGCCTTGAGAAAACTCTCAAGGATTCCACTATTGCTCCTCCTTACGGGTGGAGAGCAAACATTTACATGTTCTTGCTTGTGGGTGAAGAACCAACCTTGTAATGAAGCCATCTCATTTCTCCTTCTTTTGACGGATAAGAAGTAACCATTGCTCACTCTTATGGGTGGAGAGCTCTACCAAATCCTCTCATTAGAGAGACACCTTCTTTCTTTTATGGGTTGAGAAAGAGAACCCTTACAATAGCTTAAACAAGCTTTCCCTTGCCAAGAGAACCTCTTGGTCTTCTTCTCTAAAAAATGGATATATAATGAAGCTTATAATGAATGTCTCTCAAATAGACAAATATACAAATCAAAGCTCTCATACTTAGAGTTACAAATGAAATAATCAAATGAAAGCTCAACTATAAGTTTGCAAGATGAATCACATGAATGATATAAAATGGGTGCTTCAATGGTGATTCTTAGAAGATATTTCTATCAAGAATGATAGACAATTTTCATCCCTAAAGGGAGGTCTCTCTATTGCTCTCTTGCATGCCCACAATGTGCATACAATGTGTATTTATGGGTCCTTAGAAGAATATAGCCATTTGGGGGCATCCCATTGGAAATTTGAATTTGCAGAGCTGCGACCAAACCGGTCGACATGTGGATAAACCTGTTGACATCTTGGCTTGAACCGGTTGATGTATTTTGCAAACCAGTCGACATCTCTTGCAAACCAGTCGACATCTACTGAGCTCCATTTGGACATTTGTTACTGCCTAGATACCGGTGGACATGTGTGTCAAACCGGTCGACATGTGTGAGCTTTGGCTTGGATTTTTGCTATTTAGACAGAAAAGAGGATGACTTTAAATGGACATAACTCTATCCATTTTACTCCAAATGAGGTGAAATTTGAGTCTAAATTTATTGCCATGAAGTCAGCTTTCTCATTCCACTGGCCTTACTCAAAAATTCCAACCACAGAAAAAGTTATGGCTGTTTAAGTGCAACCTGGTCAGAATTTTTGCAAAGCAGAATCAGGTATTTTGTGAAGCTCATATCTCAGGCATTTTAAGTCCAATTTAGGTGAAATTTGAGTCTAAATTCAAAGACTCGAAGTTAGATTTCCAATGCCACTGGCCTTGTGTAAAAATTCTAACTACACAAATAGTTATAGCAGTTTTAGTGAAAGCTGGTCTGAAATTTTTTTGGGCTGAAAATTGCTTCATTTGAGATATCCATCTTTCTAGCACCTAGGACTTTGATGAATGATTCAATTTTGCTCAAGCCCTATTTCTAAGAGTCTAGGGACATATGAAGATGATAAATTTCAATTGCATTGTGTCCTAGAGTCATTTACCAAATTTTGGCAACAAAGGCTTTAAAGATGAAAAATTAATTCAATGCCTTTTCCTTTTCTTTTTAGAGACCAAAATAAATATTATGATTAATATGCATGGTCTTAGCATTTCTAGCTTAAGTTGTGAGTTCTTTCAAAGCTTATGCAAGCTTGAACTAACTCATTCTTAGCAAAGACTTCATATGTTAAATATATATGTATTGAAGTTCATAGTCTAATGCTAATGATGTAAGAGCATATAAATGATGTATGATATGCATGGTCCTATAGAGATGAGCTTTCAAATGAAGTTACTTCAAAAATAACTTTACAGTTTAAGCTAGCACTCACCAAGCTATCTACCCCTTTCTTCAAGCTTTATCCATGATCATTTTGGCTTTGAGGTATTCTTCCTTTCTTTGAGTTGCTTTCTTGATTATTGATGTCCAAGCTATCTTTGGATGGACTTTGCATTTGGTTCCTTTCAACTTCATGTCTTCTTTGTCTCCTTTGCTTTCCATAGATGTGATCTTGAGTAATGGAATTCTTGGAATGGTCTTTATGATCTTCATTGAGGTTCTTCTTTGAATGTGAATCATCTACAACACTCAATGTGAACATTAGTCCATAAACACCATTAATGGTTTGTTATCATCAAAACAGCTAGATTGTCATTGGATGAAATCCTTAAGATCAACAATCTCCCCCTTTTTGATGATGACAAAACATTGATGCGTTCATAAGCAAGTGGAGTAGCATTTGAAAAATGCTCCCCCTATCAAAGTGCATGCATTGATTTACATGTCATGAAATAGCATGCTTCTACATTGTACATTCATTTACATGCGTTTAAGATCATACATAGTTAATCACATCACACATATTTCTCCCCCTTTGTCATCTCAAAAAGGTGGGAGGCTTAGACAACTTCATGAAGTATATGTCATTTAGCATAATGAAATGTCATAGTGAAGCAATGATTATCAAGAAATGACATTTAAGTGGTAATGACTATAATATACTTTATAGTGCAACATATAAGCAATTATATCATAAAGTACTAATTTCATTGACAACATGAGTTCGAATCATCATTTAGGGTTCATGTCATATACAAAAGTATATATAATCAAACATGATATGAAAATGAAGCATAAACTAGAATAAGCCTAAAGGCAAACAACCTTTTAGAGGCAAATCTTAGAACTCAAGACAACTCCATCCTTAATATATTTCTCTACATTTGATATTCTCAAGAAAGAAGGAAAATTTCATCAAAATTATGAAAGCTTATGAATGTGAGTATTATGACCAACAAGTAATTTTGTAGCATATTTGACAATTTTCTTCATAAGAGATTATCAATAATCTCCCCCTATGAGTATGCTTTCATTTGCATCATATATCATTTATTGGGTACAAATTAACACAATGATATATAGGATGAGGCAATGACGCTGAAAGATATTCTTTCATTGAATATAAATTTTTATATGATTTTAATGTCCAAAATAACTTTAAAATCATATATGGCATGAAAAACATAAGGCATATGCAAGTAGTGTCACTACTCTAGTTATATGCAATAAATTTCCAAGTATGCAAAAGCATATTTTCTTGGGTATGTATGGTTGGTTACATGATAGTCCATGTAGATGAGCTCAACATTTCTCTTATATATATTTTTCAAGGAGTTATGTCAAAGCAACTTATGGAATACTAAGGTGCTAAGAATGATAAATAAAGTATGGCCTTGATACCAAAATATCTTCTTTAAGAGATGTGGTGAGAGATTTGCAACATGATTTTTCTAAACACATTCTTTAAGAGGTGATGTAGAAACATCACAAGAAGTTCTAAAGTGCTAAAAATGGATACATCAAAATGGAATAGCACTTGATATTACATTAGTCATCTAAGCTAGAACAAAATATTCTTTAAATGACATATTTCGAAGACTAAAGTGTCAAATTAATTTTCATGACACTTGAGGAGTTTTAATCCTTAGAAGAAATCAAGTTTACTCATCATACTAATTTCAATTTATTTTGTATGCTATAGGTAAGCTTCTTTGCACAAATCATAAATGTTGATTCAATGATAGTATATAAGTGCAATCAACATAATTTCATGAATGGTTTTGAAAACACATATATATCAATTTTGTCAAAAACCATCATTCTTGAGAAAATCACTAAGCCTTTCAAAGAGAGCTCTAGGAGCTTATTTTAATCACATAAGGCCAAAGATAATTTTAAACATATAGTTCAAAATTTTATACATTTCAATTTCGGGTGATTTTTCTTCATAGTCTAAGAAGATGAAATCAATTAAAAATCATTTCATGCAAAAACATGTAGTATTTTTATTGCTTCAATCCAAAAACACAAATGCACAAAGACATAGAATTTATTTCTCCTTTTTGGTTTGACTTCTTGGGAATAGTCTAGCTTAGTTACCAATGATAGCTCAAAATACTTATCATGATTTGATTGTAAAGGAACAAAGATGTATAACAACTTTAACAAAGAAGTTGTTCCTTTAATTAGCACAATAGAGTATTCACTAATGAATGCTTGATCGGTTGGTCAATTAAACATCAACCTTCGCAATAGCACGAATCATTGTAAAATAGGGCTATTGGTCGGGTAAGTCGAACCACTGGGACT